CGTGGGCACGCAGCGAATCCTCCTACTCCGTTGAAGAAAAATGTTTACTTATTTCTTTATTTATAGAGTTTATTTTAATGTGAACACATTAATTATGAAGTTAAGGATTACATGTTCTACAGAATTTATGTGATTGATCTACAATTACATTAATATAACGTAAGCTTTGCGTTGAAGGTATAAGTTGTCCAGGAACCCCCAAAATGCTGTATGCCCTTGAAAGGAGTGATTCTTGAGGTGATTTGAAGTAATTCTGAAATGAAATGAAAACGTTATGTTCAAAGTGATCGAATATTAAGTTTAAGTTAAACAGTTCTTAAGTTCAATGTATAAAAACAACATATGCTTAGTTATAAAAGCTCAATGTAGATTATGGGTTCCGTACCCGCATGGCAAAGGAAATAAAAATGAGAGTTACCACGACGTTAAAGAAATACAATATATAGGGTAGGCCGGAATTTGTAGTACAACCGAGCAGAGGATGATTCTGTATGAAAAAATCAAAAGCATAATATTCTTTATCCGGTGCTCCGTTTTCAAGAAAATCGACTTAAAGTTTGTTCATCTGTGTAAAAGATTTAGATGTCGTTTATTCTCCTACCGCAGTTGCCTTCGTCCGAGATAATATTTGCAAATATTTGTTATTGCGAGCTATATATACAGTGAACGGAGTGTTTCCATCATTGTCAATTCGCTTTCCTTAATTAATCTCAAAATGGTACCGAACATAAATTCGTTGTTGGTTGGAAATAATGTGTAGCGGCACACGATTGTTGACCGTGTAATTAACCATTTGCACTGTCCGTTTATAGATGTCTTGATGTTTCCTTAGCTCGGAAATGACTTTATTCTTTCACTACTTTCACGTGCTGAGCAGACTTCACTTATGAAAATATTATCAGCCATCGTCGTATCGTCGAACCACTAATAACCACCATTTTTCATTTTTCTCAACAGTTTTTATTTCAATAATATAAGAAGATCTCTGATCCATACAGTGTCGCTTTTCGAAATAGATTCTTTTGACTCAGCGTTTCACTTTTCCCTACATACTACCTTAACCTAACATAAAAGTGCGAGGATTATTCTTTGTTCCTGAGTCAGTGAGCGGATGACCTCACGGGGTATAGGTCGCTCTTTGCCCTGTCGAATCATCTATTTTTCTGTATTCCTGGGACAGAGGCACTATGAAATAATAAATTTTGGTCAGTCTGCTATTTTTCTGACTTAGGAGACTAGAGGATAATGTCGGAGGAAAAGGTCCACACTGGGAATTTATACAGATACAGTAATTTCTCTTTAATTCGCGCTCAGATTGCGCACAATAATGGACAATTTGGGAAGAGGAGAAACGATTATTCGAGGTTTGCGGCTTATTTTTATAGTTAGCGATTGTCAACAATTAAAAAAACGGGACGCAAGGCTCGAATAATCGTATCTTCTCGTCCTAAATTGTCCATTTTTGTGTGCAATCTAAGCGCGAATTGTACTGTAAAAATTAGCAGATAACCCTCTATCAAAGATCATAATTCCGAGAGATAGGCAGCGATTTTGCAGTGTATTTTCTATTGTAAGTGAATTCATAGTCCAGTTCTTGGTACTTTTATTCGGATGCTTAGTCCTTTCAAATTATGAGAAATCAACAAAAAACACGGTGGTTTTATTATTGCAGCATATCTTTGTAACGTTCTGGACATGTATTTGAAAATGTTTAATTAATGTTGAAAGGCAGCAAGGTGCATTTGTTGCACCAAATTTCTGGAACTTCTTCGAATTTTTTATTTTTATTTTTAATAATCTTATTTATTTCCATTTATTCTCAAAGAGCGCATGTCCTCGGAAAATAAACTGAATCATTTCAAATAGGGATAAAAAAGAAGCATTTCAGCAATGAACAAATTTATTTGGTTTTTTTGCATAATACACAATAATCTATAATTAGTTGGTCACAAAATTATTTTCTTCTTAAACAGAAATGCTTTGAGAGTTAACTCACATCGTCTTTTGTATCCTCTAGTGCCTGTCAACAAACAATAATAATACGAAATAAAATAATATTTAATAGAATTCACGTTTTAATCTTATCTTCCCTAACATTTTATATTAATTTTAAGACAGCAAAGGATTGCATAGAATAATTCGGTTAATTCTATAAAATTATTCATTATATTTTTTGCATGTATAAATTCTTGTAGATTGTTAGATTATCCGAGAAGTTTTATATCAACTATTAGAGTGGTTCATATTCCTGGCTCCGTTACATTTCTACAAATATTGAAAATAATCTGTTGATTCCCATTTAAAAGAGCTTTTAAGTTCGTACATGGTGTCTCAAAAATGTCTCGAAATCCGGAAATGGGCGGTTCCTGAGGTCATTTGAAGTAACTTCTTCTTTAATGAAAATATAATCCGCGGCTTTGTTTACGACTTATTAATGCAAAACAATGACCAATGAAAGGCGAGATCAGCTTACGCGAAATGGCCGAACCAATGAGCGAAACTGGACTTCATGCGCTCGTTGACTGGGCCGTCACGTGCCAGCCAAGCTCGCTTCTCGTTGATCACTGTTTATTGCCAATAACTCGTAAACAATGCCGCAGATTGTATTTTCGCTAAGGAAAAAGTTACTTTGAATGTCCTAATCCTAGGATCCTAATATCCTTAATTTCCAGATTGCGAGATATTTTTGGAACACTCTGTATAACCCTACTATGCAAACTGATATTCATTCGAATCCATTCTAAGGAATGGGAGTTAGAAGAAAATGTATATTCATCTATCAATAATTTTAGTGTGTTGAGAACAATGTAATGAAAATAATAAATCCTTTTAAACTCTTCACACTTTCCTCTCCATCTATACTCTTTTCCAAAAACATTTTCCATAACATTAGCAATCTATTTAAAGCAATCCAATGCAAGTATTCCAAAAGCACCTAGAAAAGATTTATCATACTTATATCAAGCAGGTTCTACGTAAACGGCGAGAGTAGAAATCTGAACCATCGTTGAACCATGTCGAAGACACTTTGCAATACTGGTTTAAGGAGATCGTCATTTGCCATCTGGACTGAATCCATAACAAGATCTCGCTCCTGCCTCATAAAAGATTCAAGATCCCTCTTTCCGAAATGAGGAACTACAAGACCAACGAGATCCTCTGCTCTGTTCACGCCTTCACTGACCAATCCGCCGCCTATGGGGAACAGTGAGGCGATGTCTCTTTTTCCAATCTTGGGAACAAATTGACCTATGAAGTCTTCGATTAGGTTCACCCAGTGGCTAATGATATCGCCGCCCACTGGGAACAGTTTGCCAACGTCTCTCTTTCCAAACTTGGGAATGTATTGACCTATGAGATCTTCGATAAGGTTCACCCAGTGGCTAATGATATCGCCGCCTACGGGGAACAGCTTGCCAACGTCTCTCTTTTCAAGCTTGGAAATTACTTCTTCCACGAATTGTTCCGTTGTAAGATCTCTCTTTCTGAAGTGAGGATTGAAGTCCTCTGGAAGCTCTGGAAACAAATTCTGAGCGTCTGAATGTGAAACATTTCCGTTGAGCTCCTCGTCTGGCTATAAACCGAATCGGACTCCTCAGGAGACCGTTCATATTCTGTAGAGCAGTGATAATGTTTGAATTTAGTTTATCTATACCGTTTGCAGCCGGTCGTAGCACCGCACAGTCCACGGACAATACGAATACGGAGACGGCCACGTACAGCAGGAACTTCATCTTCGCTTTGTTGATGGGCGAAACTGAAAGTGTTGAAATCAGCTAGCCGGTCAGCTTATATAGTGCAGGCTGAGTGTATATTGCATAGATGCCAGCTGCAGGATCAATGTTTCACACGTTATTTATTGTGTTTTGGCAATTGGTGGCTATTAATTGCTGTTGCAACGAATGTGTTTGCTTTGAGGCACGTGGGTGTTAAATGTATTGTATTGCGCCGCTGATCGCCTGTTCTGAGACAACTTTTGTTCAAGGTTAATGTCGCTGGAGTTGTCGAGTTTTTGTTTCGCATGTTGCGAAAGTGGTATTTTAAATAATTCAATGTCTATGTTATAATGATTATTCACGAGTCGTTATTTAACCCCCTGAATGATATTATCAAAAGCATCTATTATGGAACGCTTTTCAGCAGGTTTAAGATTATCATCGCTTTTATTACAACATAAAAGTGTTATTGTTGAATATTTATATTACTGCACTATAGATTTTTTTTTCTAGATAACGTAATGAACTTTGAAATATTGATATTTAATATGAATAAAAAATAGTACAGTGCGAGCATGTACCTATTATGGTACACCGTTTTCGCACCATGTCCCCGTGTTTCATAAATCGATATAATGAAAAAATCGATGTACAGGTGAACCTCCTACAATGCGGTTGGAAAATTACGAAAATTTTTCTACAACGCGGTTTAGGAAATGTGGAAATTTTCCTACAATGTCAAAATTCTATAAGATGCATATGCAGTAGTTCATGAAAGTATTCGAACACCTTTTAAAAAGCAATAACTTCTTTATAACTGAACTAAATGACAATTTTGTTTTTTAGATGATAATGGGACTAATCCACGAGTCAATAACTGAAATGCTTTTTCTTATATGCATGCTAAAAATTTTATCGAAATTGATCGATGTTGTTATAAGTTATAAATAATTAAAGATCGCTAAAATCCTAGTTTTGTTCCTATTTTTGACACTTTTGACCAAAAATTATAAGAAATCTGCAGTTTTTGAAATCTTTCAACGCCTGTACCTTGACTCTGGGTTAACCGATTTCGATAAAATTTTCAGCATACACATGAGTTACCGAGATCGAAAGGCAGTTAGTAAATGCTTATTATAAGCTCAGATAAAACAGTTATACAACGAGACTTTTTTACTTTTTTTGTCATTCCAAGTAAGAACTAAATTAAGAAAATGCTTTTCAGTTATTGCCTCGTGGATTAGTCCCTCTATCATCTAAAAAAAATTCAAGTCATTTAGTGCAGTTTGAAAAAAGTTATTGCGTTTTAAAAGGTGTTCGAATACTTCCTTGAGCTACTGTACGTGTTCACAAATTTATATTTATAGTTCCTTTTCGTTTATACCGTATGTTCATTGTCAAATAGATTTGGTGGCAATAATAACCGAAACATTACCGATTGAAAATACTTCTAAAGATCTGTTCAGTGTAGAAATCAAAAACTTCACTCTGAAAAGCATAAAAAAATGTTTGGACATGGCGAAACAGTTGAAATAATACTTTATAAAGAACGATCCTCTGTCGAAGAGAGCGGATGTAATTAAAAGAAATCTACAAAATTGCTTATCTGCCTATCAAGAAGTTTACACAGATTTGCAAAGCAAGATCGAACAATCTCTTATGACAGATTTTTAAAACCTAAAACCACCGGAAATCCAGTCGAATTTGTCTATGAATTAAGCTCAGATTTAAAAATAAGACCCGTCAAACGTTCTTGACCAGTTATATTATAATAAGTGACAATGATGAATAAATTTGTTAGCATAACATTATATTTCTTTTTGATTTTTAATTTTAATTTTGGTTATGAAACTTGAAATCGTGATCTTTTTAGTTTTTATATGATGTTGAATTTTATTTAAGTTTGTTATGAAATATTTTTATGTGCATATATAGTTATATAATATAGATATAGTTATATAATATAGAAAAGAGGAACATAATAAGGAACAGTATGTTCTTGTTTATAGTGTGGTTTTGGTTTCATTTATCATTCGTGTTATTATGAAACGTGGCTCTTACTAGTCTCATGCGCAGTTTTAATGCTGTCTTACTATTGTTTTAATATTGCCTTAAGGCAATTAATATTACATTAATGTTGCCATATTATTGGTGTCTAGTCTGGATTAAGTCTGGGTTAGATCTGGGTTAGGTCTGGGTTTAGCCTGAATTATATCTAGTAAGAGTTTCTTTGTGGACCTGGAATTATGGAATGAAGGTAAAACGTAAACATTTCATTTTATTTCAGTAAAATTACTCAAAACTAAAAAGCGTTTTTGTTGAAACGAAGCCGTTTTCCAGAATATTTTCGAAGCTATTCATTTGTTAAAATAAAAATTTTGACGCATTATACCTTACACGATTATTTGCAAGGTAGGAAACGATATTTCAGAAATGCTATTTCGTTAATTGTTCTTAAAGTATCAAAGCAAAGTCTTTTCAGACAATTAAAAATCTGAATTAGCAGGATACGTTTATCTTAATTTTGAAAGTATGGGGAAAAAAACGTTCATTTTATTTAAAAAAATTTATTATTTTCACTATTCACGTTGAAATCATTCTGTTTAATATTTCAGGTGACATAGCTCGAACAGACGTAGTTTCTTGTTACAGGCAATGTAGAACAACGCTAATTGTAAGTAATTATCACAGATAAAAGATTGTAAAATTTATCTATTTCTTTTAGAATAGAATAACAAAGTTATTGAGTTATCGCTCATATAAATGAGCGACACAATCTTAGTATGGAAACGGTTTGTCATGGTCCATTAATTTGCTCTTTATACCATAGCAGATGCATATTTTGCAGAATCGTTTACATTGCTTATAATACACCAGTTGCGAAATACATGTAAAGTATTGCATTATAGAAAAACAGAGTATCATTCTCGTTCAGGCGGCATTGGCGATGCAAAAATAGAAAATGTACTTTCGAAAATCTTTTTCACACACTTTTGTTCACAATTCCAGTTTTTGATAAAAGACGAACACAGCAATTATAGCGTTTCCAGCTGCCTCTTAGATCTCCTTGTGGAAACTGAAAAATTAATAGTAACTTTGAGTTGAATTTAAAGGAAAATTATCGTTTTTATCAAATGTAGCAATCAAGTGACTGAACCATGAGTATCCGAATTAAGAGACAAACTTCTATGGATAAATGGTTCTTCGGATAATCGATCTGAAAGAACAAATACTTTCCAAATATGGAGACTTAGTACGTAGAAATGCATATCCAACAAAAGAAATATCGCGCGAAGAATGAATTAAATATCAAAAATTCTGTCAAGTTGCCGATTCTTCCTACAATACACATTTATGGATGACTTATATGAAGATAATGCTTAAATAAAATTTTGCAAACATCTTAACTGGTTAGAATGACAACCGTAAAATAAAAAAGGTACGTTTCCCAACTTTTTTTATCTAAGACTGTAAAAAAATTGAAATAATGCATTTTATGAGTCTTATAATAATGTAACAAAATCTTATAAATATATTTCGATAGCACGCCTTGATTTGATCAGTAGCAGCGGCAACGGTGGAAAGGGGAGTTAGATGGATAGACTAGGCATTTATCCATACAATAAACAGTTGCAGCCTCCTTTCCAGCTATTTCCCCAATCGCATCGCATACTTACCTGTTTCGAAATAATAAATGATACAATTATTAACATTTTAAAATTTATTGCATTTTGTTCAATGAAAACGTATGCTGAGGTGATTTTGAAATATGTGTAACATACTACAATATGTACGCAACCAAATAGAATCAGAAATAATAGACAAATTAATAAAACGGATGCTGAAGTTAGACCAAGAAGTAATTGATAAACTCATTGTATATATCGTCGATAAGAAAATTTAATTTTCTTTTATAAAATTCACATTATTTTTACTATAATATAAAAAAATATAGATATATCTACTTGTTACATTTTAATATCATTAACTTTGAAATACATTGAAGAAATTAGAACAATTTTCTATCGGTTCCTCAAATTTATTTAATTATCTGTGATTGTGCCACTTTTGGAGAGGAGTATATGTAAAGTGTACCAAAAAGTTGCTCTATATGACCTCAGGAATTACCCCTTTCAAGGGCTTGCAACAGTTTTAGGATATTCTGTGTAATTTATTGCATCATTGTTAGTACTTTCGGTATAAAAATAAAATAGAGAAGGACGAAAATATTTTCGATCGAATAGTGCACCAAGATCTTTAACAACACTTTAAGCTGCTCCATAATATACTTATACACTTGGCAGATATTTGATGGGCAGTTTGGTGGGTATCGAAGGCAATTGCTTTGACACCAATTTCCCATTCCTGGTATACGTCGGTAAGGTGAAGAGGACATGCACACCTGAGATCTGAAATTAAAATGTCCTTAAAAACACTTATATGAATGGTCAATTGTATAATCTATAATGTATTCGTGTCTGTTACCCTATAAGTTAATTTAACAAAATTGAACAGTTTCATTGGAGTTAATTACTTTTAGTTTAAGTAAATTACTTTTTTTGAAAGGAAACTGAATTCCTGTACTGCTAGAAGTCTTTGGTACAAACTCCTTGTTATAAAAATCTTGTAACTTTCCATGTTAAATGCAAGTCTTTGCCGTATTTAATAATACCAATACAATTTAATAGTATAAACTCTGAACGCAATTAAAAAGTTTTTAAAATTAAGAATGAAATTGGAAAAAAATTTTTTTTTTTCATATATTGGTATTATCAAAAAAAACGATAGTTTGCTGAGTTAGTTCAATCAAGGAAATAACAGTGCTGTAAACAATCATTTTGAGGTGGTCTTAATAAAAGTCTGTGGTGGCTACCTCCAGACCTGCCAGCAGAGGGCTCTTCTTCCCGCTAGTAGCCGATCCGTTCCGATCCCTATATATACACCGAGACTTCGTCCTACCCTTACGTCTAAGGCAAGGGCCCGCTAGGATAGCCTTACTGATGAGTCCTCTAGCGGGCTCCGGACGAAACGTC